ACACACACACACACACACACACACACACACACACACACACACACACACACACACACACACACATTGCTTTTCTACCCTCATGGGGACTTTGCATTAACTTCTGTTCATTTTCCAGTCGTTTCTACAGCCTAACCCCGACCTTTTACCCTAAACCACTCCTCCCAGTACATACCTGACATTAAATATATTTTAAACTCATTCACACCCCYGACCTAAATCTAACCCTCACACAAAATCAGCATTTGTACCGGTGGGGACCAGGCTGGAGGAGCAGTGGGTCCCAACAAGGCTGTATATTTCTGGAAAACGGTCCTCATGATGTAGGCGAAACCATGTCCACACACACAGTTATGATGTCACTGACTGTGTTTGATGGTTTTCTTTATAAATCAGCTGTTGTCTGTTTTTAACAGTTATTTTTGTCTTCAGTCACACACAGTTACTGTTTTTACCCCGTTCACACTTCACACTAAAAACATCTACAGTTTCTGGAAGTGGACAGAAGCAGCGTGTGCAACAGGAAGGATTCAGTTAGTCTGAACAGAACCTGTTTGTTTCAACCAATCAGGAGCAGTGAAAGCTCTCAAAGCTTTGAAGTGAACATAGTTAATATTTAATGATGAAAACCTCACATAAGCAAACCAGAACCACATCCTGCTGCTGGTGGACCTGCAGGTCCAGGATCAGGTTCTGGAAAATAGAAAAGTTCAACAGATTTTAAGAGCAGATGGTAGGTAAACCCTGCAGACGGTTTTTTTTAACTACATGTTGTTTTAGTTTTGTTAAAAGTGATTGATCAGGAGCAGAAGAGCCTTCAGAGGTCCGGCTGAAAGGTCAGAGTTTCCTCATCGTAGATAAAGTTTGTTTGAGGAGAAGTCTTTCATAAACTGAGGGTTGAGAACATAAACAGGAAGTACAGATGCAGATGAACTACTTCRTTTAAAAAAGATTAAAAACACACAGAAATCAATTTAAAGTGTTAAACAACCTGATAGAATCAAGAAATAAAAACAAACTATTGAACATGGAGTGATCTAATCTGACCAAAGCCCAGCCCCCATGACTTCGGAGGCTGATTTCAGGTGTAGGGTTGGTTTAGATCCAAGGTTTAGGTTAGTTTAGAGTCAGGTAGGTACCTGTGAGGTTAGTTTTAGGGTCAGGTAGGTACCTGTGAGGTTAGTTTAGAGTCAGGTAGGTACCTGTGAGGTTAGTTTAGGGTCAGGTAGGTACCTGTGAGGTTAGTTTAGGGTCAGGTAGGTACCTGTGAGGTTAGTTTNATGTTTAAGTCTTTGGACCTGTCTCTCATCGTGGAGTTCATGCTGATGTTCTACAAAGACAAACCCATCGACTGGCTGCTGGACCACATCATGTGGGTCAAAGTCTGCAACCCGGAGAAGGACGCAGTGAGTGGTCCCCTGATCCAGATCTTGTTTCCTTCCTGTTCTGGGTTTGGTTCCTGATCCGGTCCTGACCCGGTCCTGTTTGTGTCCTTCAGAAACACTGCGACCGACAGAAGGCAAATCTGAGGATCCGCTTCAAGCCGTCGCTCTTCCAGCACGTGGGAACGCACTCGTCTTTAGCCGGAAAGATCCAGAAACTCAAGGTGGGTTTCCCTCCGCCTGTGGTGGCTCGGCTCAGAGCTGTGGTTCTGAGGTTCTGCTCGTGTGTCAGAGTTTGTGAGTTTGAGGGGAGGTTCAGTAGAAGTTCAGCGTCACGCAGACGGATGAAGACTGACGGCAGCTTCCAGCTGAACGCCTCCACTTCCTGCGTTCAGAGCCCGATCAGCTGCTGCTGCAACCTGCTCCCATCAATGAGATCTGGACCCGGTTCTGTCTGTGTGGAGACAGAACCGGAGCGTCGGCTGCTGGGAGGTGAACTCAGTGAGAGGAAACTGGATTCTTTAGATTTATATTTAAAACATTTAGATTTAATGTTTAATTAAACAAGTTCTGGGACTTTTTTCTTTTTATTTATTTCATTAAAACTACAGTCAGAAAATCTGCTCCAGCTTTGTTCTGTAAATCGGGTCGGGACCAGGAAGCAGCTGTGACCAGAGGTCAGCCAACATCTGGGGTGAGGAGAGAAATCTGAAGACGCCCTGCAGCTTCCTGTGGACCAGAACCTGCAGCTTCCTGTGGACCAGAACCTGCAGCTTCCTGTGGACCAGAACCTGCAGCTGCTCTCCTCCTCCTCAGCCGAACCTCTCCTCGTTAGTGCGACTCGTTAGCGTTGGGACGGTAGCGCAGTGTGACTCTCACAGCTGTCTGCGGTGACAGCGACAGCCGACACCGAGCCGAAACGTTAGCAGCTAAAAAGGATCTGATCATTCAGCTCAGATCAGCTGAAGGTTTTCTCAGAGGAAAACCTCCAAACATCTGAACATCAGCCGAAACTACAGCCGAACATACACGGTCTTTTTATATAACCTGCCTGATCCTCTGAGGAGGAACCGTCCTTCTGCTGGGGGGACGGTGGTCTCCTGGGTTCTGCAGGACCGTTCAGTAAGTGGTTTCCTGACCTGGTCTGTGGTCTTCCAGGATAAGGACTTTGGGAAGCAGACCCTACATAAAGGTCACGCCAACCCGCTGGCAGAGGTGACCACCAGCCTGAAGACCTACCAGCACTTCACCCTGGAGAAGGCCTATGCAGGGGAGGACTTCTTCTGGGCCTTCACCCCGGTGGCCGGGGACTTCATCAGGATACGGTTCTTCACGCCGGTCCGCATCGAGAGGTCAGGATCTGGAGCGGGGTGTGGGTGGGGGTGGAGGACTTAACAAGGGTCCAGGAACAGGTTATCAGAACTAAAAGCTGTTTGTTTCTTTGTTTACAGGTTTTTCTTCAGGAGCGGAAACATCGAACATCCAGGAGACAAACTCTTCAACACGTCTGTGGAGGTTCTGCCGTTTGACGTGAGTCCTCAGGACCAGGTCCACCCGGCCCTGAATCCAGACCAGCTTCTTTAGGTCGAACATCAGAAAAACTCTGAACCTCATCTGACCTCCAACAGATTATAGTTCAGTCACTTCGTACCAATAATCTGACCTCCAACAGATTATAGTTCAGTCACTTCGTACCAATAATCTGACCTCCAACAGATTATAGTTCAGTCACTTCGTACCAATAATCTGAC